CCACATACACATATACACATACACACATACACGCACATGCATGTACATACACACATACCACATACACATATACACATACACACATACACGCACATGCATGTACATACACACACACCACATACACACATACACACATACACGCACGTGCACGTGCATACACACATACCACATACACATACACACATACGCACATACACGCACATACACATACCACATACACACATACATGCACACACATATACACATACACACTGCACACACATACACGTACATACACACACATACCACATACACATATACACACATGCACATACATGGACATACACACATACCACATACACATATACACATACACACATACACGCACATACACGTACATACACTCATACCACATACACATACACACACACAAACACACATACACACATACACACACATACACACATACCGCATACACATAAACACATGCACACAAACACATGCACACATACATGCACACACATATACATACACATACACACTGCACACACATACACACATACATGCACATACATGTACATACACATACCACATACACGCACATACACGCACATACACACATACCACATACACATAAACACATGCACACAAACACACATGCACGCATACATGCACACACATATACATACACATACACACTGCACACACATACACGCACATACACGCACATACACTCATACCACATACACATACACACACACAAACACACATACACACATACACACATACACACATGCACACGCATGCATGTACACGTGCACACGTGCACACACATACATACATACACACATGCGCGCACACACGTATAAGCCAGGGGCAAAGAAGGGACCCGGGTGCCAGGACTGAGCAGCCCGACTCCGGAGCCCAGCCCCGCCCCCCGCCCCGGCCTCCCAGCCCCAGGATCCCCGCGCCATACCGAGTTCAGCCTCTTCAGTTCCAAGTCATTCTGGTCCCGGAAGTGAACACTGACAGCCACCGTCTCAACCCAGGCGTTGTCCGTGTTCCTCGGGTCATCCATGTACCCTTTGTACACCTGGGGAGCGCGCCCAGTGAGCGGCGAGCGGGCGGGGCTGCTCGCACGCCTGGTCACATACCCTTTGTACACCTGGGGTGTGCGCCCGGTGAGCGGCGAGCGGGCGGGGCT